AAGACCCACTCAGTTAGACTTGGATAACACTGGGAAAGCGTACCCTGTACATGGAAGGAAGGGACGCTGCGGAAGCCACATCCTGCCCGAAGGGAGGTAACATGTGGAATACACATATGAACTGGGCGGAAGACCGGGCAGTACAACATATGGAATGTCACTGGGGTGGCTCCAGCCTAAGACAGGGGGGAGAACAACACCGAACAGTAACGGCAGAAGGACTCTGCCAAGGGAAAGACACGGGCTCGCACTAGGGAGCCGTATCGTGGAAGAATACACATATGGGATCACCGTAGGGATCGCAACATATGGACCCAGCCTAACACAGGTTCCACACTGCTTACGAGTGATAGGCCTAGCACCGGACGCACCGCTACGTCCAATGCCGAGGGGGTGTGGAGGAACTCAACAGGGTTCGGACAAGGGGAACTCAACTGGAGCAGAAAAGCGCACGTATCCAGTCCAAGGAGGGGAATGGCGCAGCAAGCCGACACTTGAACCGGGCTCACGGTGTTAGCTGGCTTCTATGTGAAGAGAGCACACGGGAAGCAACCGGCTCGACACGTAGGCTATAAAATCTAGCGAACGTATTAGGTGTCGCCCAGCCCACAGCTCTACAGACATCTGTCAGCGAGGCACCCTGCGCCAACGCCCAGGAAGCGGCTACACTCCTTGTGGAATGAGCTCGCAAACCGGGGGGACAGGGTTCACCTTGGGATTCATACGCCAAGATGATGGCATCCACTATCCAGTGGGCCAACCTTTGCTTGGAGACAGCCTTTCCCTCCTGCTGGCCTCCGTAACAGATGAAGAGCTGATCTGAGGTCCTGAGGCTTTGCGTTCTGTCCACGTACAGGCGCAGAGCGCGGACGGGACAGAGAAAAGCCAGGGCTGGGTCTGCCTCCTCCAGGGGCAGCGCTTGCAGGTTCACCACCTGGTCCCGAAAGGGAGTGGTAGGAACCTTGGGCACATATCCAGGCCGGGGTCTCATTACTACGTGAGAGTTAGCCGGCCCGAATTCCAGGCACGATTCGCTGACCGAAAATGCGTGCAGGTCCCCTACCCTCTTGATGGAAGCCAAAGCAAGCAGGAGGACTGTCTTTTGAGACAGAATTTTTCCTCAGAGGAATGGGCCAGGGAGGAGCTGTCGAGAGAAGCATAAGTTCGGGGAACCAGGTCCGGTTGGGCCAATAAGGGGCAACTAATAAAACCTGCTCCTCTTCCTCCCTGACTTTGCACAGAAGCTGTGCAATAAGGCTCACTGGGGGAAACGCATACTTGCGGAGGCCCCGGGGCCAACTGTGGGCCAGTGCATCCGTGCCGAGGGTCCCCTCGGTGCGAGAATAAAACAACTGGCAATGGGACGAGTCCGGAGAGGCAAAGAGATCTATCTGTGCGACCCCGAAGTGATCCCAAATCAGCTGGACCGCCTGGGGATGGAGTCGCCATTCTCCTGAGGCCACAATCTGTCGTGAGAGCTCGTCGGCGGCACGATTCAGCAGGCCAGGTATGTGAGTGGCACGAAGCGACCTCAGATGCTTCTGACTCCATAGGAGGAGGTGGCGGGCGAGTTGTGACATGCGACGGGAGCGTAGACCACCTTGATGGTTGATGTACGCAACGGTCGCAGTGTTGTCCGAACGGACCAGTACATGCTTGCCGAGCAGCGTCTTCTTGAGGCGTCTCAAAGCAAGGTGCACCGCTAACAACTCGAGGCAGTTGATGTGCCAATGCAGGTGGGACCCCGTCCAGATCCCAGCTACTGCATGCCCGTTGTACGTGGCCCCCCAGCCGGTGTTGGAGGCGTCTGTGGAGACCACAGCGTGCCTGGACACTTGTTCTAGGGGCACTCCGGCCCGGAGAAACGAAGGGTCTGACCATGGGCTGAAGGTATTGCGGCAGGCCGGGGTGATTGTCACACGGAGCGTGCCGCTCTGCCACGCCCACCTCGGGACTCGGTCGTGAAGCCAGTGCTGAAGTGGTCTCATATGAAGCAAGCCGAGCGGCGTAACTGCGGCTGCGGCTGCCATATGCCCCAGGAGCCTCTGAAAAAGTTTCAGTGGAACCACTGTTCTGCTCTTGACTGAATTCAGGCAGTTCAGCACCGACCGGACACGTTCCTCTGTGAGGCGCGCCGTGTGTTGGACCGAGTCCAGCTCCATCCCGAGAAAAGAGATCCTCTGCACGGGGGCGAGTTTGCTCTTTTCCCAGTTGACCTGAAGACCCAACTGGCTGACATGCTCGAGGAGCAAATCCCTGTGTTCGCACAACTGCTCTCGAGACTGCGCTAGTATTAACCAGTCGTCGAGATAGTTGAGGATGCGAACGCCGCGCTCTCTCATGGGAGCAATGGCTGCCTCCGCGACCTTCGTAAAGACGCGGGGAGACAGGGCCAGCCCGAAGGGTAGGACTTTGTACTGATACGCCCGACCCTCGAACGCGAAACGCAGGAATGGCCTGTGTCGCGGCAGGATGGAGACATGAAAGTATGCGTCCTTCAGGTCGATCGCTGCAAACCAATCTTGGGGACGGATGCATTGGAAAATGCGTCTCTGCGTTAGCATCCTGAACGGGAGCTTGTGAAGGGCCCGGTTCAAGATCCGCAGGTCCAAGATTGGCCGTAACCCACCACCTTTCTTGGGTACAATGAAGTACGGGCTGTAGAAGCCGGTCTTCATATCGGCTACTGACACCGGCTCTATCGCGTCCTTCGCCAGCAGGACAGCGATTTCCGCGCGCATGACAGGAGCAGATTCGCTCGACACCGAAGTGTGGCGAACGCCGCTGTACTTGGGCGGATGCCGGCGGAACTGAATCATATAGCCGAGCCTGATGGTACGGAGCAGCCAGCTGGACGGGTTGGGAAGCCCTTTCCAGGCTTCGACGAACCGGACCAGGGGGACCAAAGGTACCACAGACGTACCCGGGGTGGGGCAGCAAAGTGGAGGACAGGGACCCGGCTCGGAAGGCCCGTAGGCGGCCCGAAGCGGGGTCTGAGTGTGCAGAGCAGCACTTACCTGTCTCCACGGGGCAGCAGGGGATGCGTGAGAAGGCGGATGACCGGGTCCTCGAACGCGTCGTACTGCCGACTGGCGAACAAGAGGGGGCTGAGGGGTGCAAGGCTGTACGACAGGGTCGCACACCGCCAACCTCGCCCTCTTGGGACCCAGGGACGGAGGAATTTGCTCTTCTGACAATTTCAAGTGGTACTCGATGCAGAGCCAAATAGGAGGAGCTAGAGCTCCAGCTCTTCCCCTCGCTGGAGCTCTAGCTCCACCCAGACCCGTTTTTCAACGGCTCTGGCTTCACCTCACTGGATTTAGTGGGCGGGGCCGCCCAGGCGCAGGTTAACTTTCGCGATAAACATGACCGCGCCCGCGCTTCCATGATTATATTATATAATTATATTATATATAATAAATATTATCATAAATAAACCTAAGTAACCATGGCGATAGCGTTTCCACCTAAAATTGCGGCGCCTTCCCGGCATGCACCTCATTCTCTATTAGAAATATCCCATCCCCCACAAGAGGTACGCAGTTAAAAAGTTGTTTGCCAACCGCCATTAAAAATCCAAAAGAAGAAGAAGAAGACAGTGGTGCGTAGTTACTTATTTTAATTAAATATTTGTTTAGTCTTACAAATGCATCCGACAATACTTTTCCGAGGACAAGACCCCCTGCGGTCTGTCGAGAGATGCACAGTGTGCTGCATGAAATTTCATTGTGCATTCTGTAAAACGGTGTATAACCATTTACACGAGCTCCGAAACCATGTAGCTAACCACATGGGAAATGCAGTGCAACAAGAAGGTATGTGAATTATTTTAATTATCCTGTGTGTGAAAAAACATGTTTGTTGAACATTTCTGTTTTTGCATGTCATAGTAATTTCTTCCTAGCATTTAAAATAATAATTTAATATTTTATTTTGTTGTGAAACCTTTGGGAAGTCTTAATTTCAAATACTTTACTTCAGTTATTGTTGCTTTAGTTTTTCTGTATTACATTATTTAGTTTGAATAATTTTAAAAGTTAAAAACAAGTATATAAATACTACATGTCAATAACTCTTCAAGGGCTGATGTAGAGTCTGTCAGGTATTTGTTCCACCCACACTGGCCATAGTGTTTGATGGGAGTGCGGTAAAACATATAAAATAAAATATAAGGATCTTAATGTTGTTGTGCTCTTAAGCAAGGCATCACACAACCTATTCACAGGCGATTCACTGTATTAAACATGTAAAAAAGACAATTGTGCTAATTTATTATTTCTACGTTTTAGATTTTATCATCATCAAGTGTGGTTTGAAGTGCAGGCAATCACCACATTTTCACTGCTGTTACTGTTCATCAACCTTCATCAGACGCGATAGTCTTATTACACATTTAAAAATGTGTAAAAATGTGGCATCTGGACAGCCTCCAGCATCAGCATCAGCAGCTCTATCAGCAGCTCTATCATCAGCATCAGCAGCTGTATCACCAGCATCAGCAGCTCTATCACCAGCATCAGCATCAGCAGCTCTATCACCAGCATCAGCATCAGCAGCTCTATCACCAGCATCAGCATCAGCAGCTCTATCACCAGCATCAGCATCAGCAGCTCTATCACCAGCATCAGCATCAGCAGCTCTATCACCAGCATCAGCATCAGCAGCTCTATCACCAGCATCAGCATCAGCAGCTCTATCACCAGCATCAGCATCAGCAGCTCTATCACCAGCATCAGCAGCTCTATCATCAGCATCAGCATCAGCAGCTCTATCACCAGCATCAGCATCAGCAGCTCTATCACCAGCATCAGCAGCTCTATCATCAGCATCAGCAGCTCTATCACCAGCATCAGCATCAGCAGCATCAGCAGCTCTATCACCAGCATCAGCAGCTCTATCATCAGCATCAGCATCAGCAGCTCTATCACCAGCATCAGCAGCTCTATCATCAGCATCAGCAGCTCTATCATCAGCATCAGCATCAGCAGCTCTATCATCAGCATCAGCATCAGCAGCTCTATCATCAGCATCAGCAGCTCTATCATCAGCATCAGCAGCTCTATCACCAGTATCAGCAGCTCTATCACCAGCATCAGCAGCTCTATCATCAAAAAGATTACGTGTCCGGCAGCAAGTAAGGGTGACTTGCACACACTGTGGCATTAAAATAAATAGAAGAAACTTGCTGGTTCATATGAACCGAAGACACAGGCAAAGGGTAGAAGATATTACAGCAAAGCGGCACCTATCATGCCAATGCATTGATCCCAAAAATGGCATCTTTGCTGTTGATAAGTCGTTTTTTAAACCATGCTCTCCTATACACGTTAAAAAAAAAACATGGGGTGCAAGCCAGAAAATAACCTGCGAATTGGACGAATGCAATGCAAATGCTGAATTTGCAGTGAGGAGTGGAATTCTACCTTATGAGTGCAATCATCTCAAGTCATTGCTCTTCTGTCCCCGCTCAGAAACTGCACCCATCATTTTAGATGAGGAGACATTGACAGATATGGTTTCTTGTAGGTTTTTTGGGGATGCAAGGAAGCAGAGTTGCTTAAACCAGCAAAAGGCATCTACTGATGCAGGTGTTCCACTTTCTGTTGAGGTGACTGTTGGAGGGCCTCCATCCAAAAAGTTAATTTCAATATATGAGCCAAAAGTGTCATACTACAGCAGACTGGGCAGGGTAATAGCTGCATATGATTCAAAAAAGAAGTCTTGGCACTGTCCATGTGCCAAACCAAGACAGTCATGTCTTCATAAATCAATTGCAAAATGGCATCTTTTTAGTACTGACCGACATCTGTTCATGACTGCCGAGAGTGATATAAGGCCAGATGCAGTTGTGAATAATCAAGAGACTGATTCTGTATGCGAAGCAACGCCAGGTGGAGATGGGGGACAAGCATATCCTCCTGATGATGCAGGCCTTCAAAGGATGGTTCACTATTTAATGCAAAAAAAAGGTCTTCCTGCCCAACTACCCCAACATTTGGTCACTGGTTCCAAATCTTTGCAAGATCTTCCAAGTCAGTTGATACCAAAAGAAACATCATGCGTGGAGTGTGCCGGGCAACTTACTGAGCCAATGCTCATAACAGCACATGCCAAACTTGTCACATATACTGGTGTTGTAGAAGGTGAGACATGTCAAAATATACATAATCCATATCATCTTAGCCATACCAATTTAACTAATGTTTTTTTTTTTGCTTTTGTTTTTTAGGCTTTTCTACATACTGCAGGGCATGTCCTGACTGTGGGCTGATGTACAGATATCAAGAATGGAGTGATGGAATTCACAATTTCAATGACCATATGCTCATTACCCTTCATTTGTGTATTGTACTACGGACATCAATTCAGGTAAGAACACATTTAGTGTTTTACTGTTTTTATTTTTTTGAATATGTGCCTTACTATGTTTTATACTTTTTTAGACTCACCATTCTGTAAGCCGAGCAATTGAAGTGCTTGAGCAAACAGAAAATAAGACCTTCCCTAAAAAAGCCACAATACTCCACGCCTACATGCACTTTGAAGCCATGACCTCACACAACTATTTATTTTCTTGTTACAAATGTGGATACTATCCACCAGTGGTGGTCATGGACCTTCACAGAAAGGGTGTATTCAATATGCCTGGTAAGCAACAGAACAAACAGCTTTTGATGAATGAAAGAAAAGTTACGATATTTTTTAATACCAAGTCTAAATCTGCAGTAAGTGAAATGGAGGCTCCACCAGCACACTTTGATGGCACTGTCGATACCAAACAATTTTGGGACTCTGTGATGTCTGAAATCATTTGCAGTGGATTACTTGCTTGTAAGTCTACTTAAAGTATAGGTCTTGTCTGTTCCCCACAATATTGCAGTAATAGTATTGTGATATAGACTTTACATGTTACTACTACTATTTCAAGGTGGCCGAAAGAACCCGTTTGTGGTTGCTCCAAGTTATACCAACTGGGCTCCTTGGATTGGACCAAAAACTAGAAGGGATGACACCGTTTTTAACACAGAACATGAAAAGTTTCATGCACCAAGACAGGCTACTGAAATGGCAGATCACCAAATGACAGAGGAGAGGCTTCAAGATGCACTAATTAATCTCAAGGTAATGGCTGGTTACACTTATTATTTGATTCACTGTGTTTGAATTAAGCTAAGTATTATTTAAATATTGTAAAATAATAGGTGGACATGGTTCGAAATCTGTGCAAACAATGTGGCCTGGACTCAAAAGGCTCAAAAATGGACCTCATCCTAAGACTGCGGGATGAAATGAAGAACAGGTCATCTTACGACAAGATCTTTGAGAAGGTCTGGGGAGCTTCAGGTAAGATGCATCTTTCACTGAGCAGTTAGATCTGTAGTTGCATCTACAGTGTTATAAAGCCCTTCTGCCAGGAGAATGTAATGTGTGTAGCTCATGATGAATATTTGAAGACAGACATACAGTACAGGTTAGTATTTGCCACAGGATCTTAATCAAGGGCCATATTGAATAATACATTCATCTGTAGCTAAATATTGTTTATGTACATTATTATTACATCAATTATGTGTTTTCCATAGGTGGTTGGGCAGTTGTTATGTGCCCCTGTGCAGTGGTATACTCAATCAAATTTAATTTAAGAGCAGAGAGTCCCAGAGACTATGCTGACATTTTGCTTAGCTGGAAGCACTTCCCAAACATTGCCATATATGACTTTGCAAGGGGACTGGCAACACACACCAACTTGAGGGAGCCTGAAATATTGCCATTTAGACCACATGAGGGGCGGCTGGCTGAAGCAACCACAGACAATCTGCAGCTGGCTGGTGAGGGAAAGCTAAAGGTCAGTTTACCATGGCTCAAAACAAAGAATACAGATACAGACGCAAACTGCCACCCAATCACTGGGACATCTGATCACTACACCCTTTATGACGTTTTCCATGAGAGGAATACAAAGGATGCTAGAGACGCCCTTCGAAGGATTGGACTTGTCCCAGAACTGGCTGGCTGGGTTAACAGCCAGTGTGCTGAGCAATTGTTTTCAGACATGAGGAAGAACAATTATTTTTTGAATACCCTCACACCCTCTGAGCACATCTTCATGATGCGGAACATACTGCACCACCACAACACAAAATGCAATGACAAAACTAAAGCTAGTATCCAGAAAGTAGTGGGCAAAGATGTTCAGCTGCAGTTGGATCACAACGGTCAGATAATAATGGGTAAATTATTTACACTTTTTATTTTGTCAGTTGTTTAACATTGAATGGTCATCTGTATTATTATCTTATAATCTGTACTGTTTTGGTTTTGTTTTCTTTTACTACAGGCACAGCTGCACAGATACCAACTGAAGCAGAGGAAACAATACAATCCAGTGAGTGACAGAAAACTACGTAAAAAGCAATAATGCATTGGAATTTAATTCAATTCAATTCAAATTTATTTGTATAACGCTTTTCACAATACATATTGTTTCAATACTGTTGTACCATGGTGCTTTAGTTTTCTCTCTAACCTTTTTCAATCTAATTGGTGCAACAATTTCTACTGTACTAAAGAAAATGGTGCTCAAACTGCTAGTCATTTCCTCTAGTTCATCTGTTTATTTGGGTTCAGGCAGCAGCTGAGACAGATCAGATAAGCAATTTGAGAATCTATCTATCTATAATCTATCGACATTGACCAATAGATCTGAGAGAAAGTCTGCAAACTCTTTTAGGAAATCAGCATAGGGCCCTGGAGGTCTATATACAGTAGCCAAGGCTAGAGATAATAGGGATTTCTTTCTTACATCTAAGAGCGTAACATTTTAGCACAAGTACTTCAAACGAATTAAACTTGTCACCTGTTTTCTGAGTAACATTAAAGATATCTCTATAGATTGTTGCAACACCGCCGCCACAACCGATCAGACGGGGCTCATGCTTATAACAGTATCCTGGTGGACTAGACTCATTTAGACCGAAATAATCATTTGGTTTAAGCCAGGTTTCAGTGAGGCAAAGTACATCGAAACTATTACCTGTGACCATTTCGAATTTAACAGTATAGATCTGCTTTATCTTGGAGAATATTTCTTGATGCGTCATGTTTTCTACTGCTCTTGTTTTCACAACAGTAGTTAGATCAAGAAATTGTTTTAAAGAAATTTAGATTTTCTTGTGATTGTACACCACTTTTCTACAGCAATAAACAAGCTTTATTAAGACCATAAAAATTCATTTACAAATATGGATCTTCTCTTCAGACTGTCCTAGCCCATCTGACCTAGTTCAAGGTGTAGCAACAAGCCAGACAGATGAACAAGCAGGCAGGAGGATATTGGATGTTGACTATTTACCAGCACAAGAGAATGTGGTAATGTGTTCTTATTGCAGTGATTGTCATAAATATTTTTTTATCTTGATTACTTTTCCAGAAAACTGTTCTATTACATGTTTGTATGTTTTAATGAGTTATATAACAATGTTTATTTAATTTTATCAGCTGGCTTATGTCTTGGATGGAGCCAAAGATCCAAATGAGGAAGTACTTCAGCTCAGCCCAACTCAAACATTAAAAAGAAGCGACTTTTGTTCTTTTGCCTTTGATGAGTTAGAGGCAAGGTATGATGTTGATATTGATAACAATACTTTTGATTAAAACCTCCATACTGTGCATTTCCAGAAATAAAATGTACTGCATGCCTAAAAACATTCTAATGTTTGTCACTTCCCACAGTCAAGTCCCACAAACAGTCACCCAGGAACAGTCTGAGTCAGATGTCATGGAGATCACCCCAACACCAGATATCTATGTATGTAGAGGGAATGTTTATCTATTGCGTGATTTGTTTGATTATATTTGGCTTTCCTGTTTCATAAAAGTGTTTATAAGCAGCACTTCATTAATTACATTATTATTGGAATTATTATATTGCACACAGGCCTCCGCAGTGATGAGAAATATTCAGCTGGCCTGTGAGTGGGTGGAAGAGAGCCAACACCACTTTAGTGGGAAGATTGATCTGCCAAAGATCGTAAGGATGAAGATGGATGATGCCTTGTTGGCCATCAAAATGCGGGACTTATTTTTAAAAAACTCCATGCGTTATGAAGGTGAAGCATATGAAGAAGAGATTTGGGCTCCCTTCCTATTTATTTTTCAAAGTGCAGAGGACATGGAAGTTTTCTTGCAGGAAATACGAGACAGAAGAAAAATCTGTGTGTCTTGTTTACACAACCCTCACTTGTGAATGTTTTTGCTACTCCAGTTTAAGGCTGCTCTTAGCTTTGCTGCACTTATCTGTGCTGTGCTGTTATGCATGTATTATTCTCTTTCAATGTTGTAGTTCTGTAAAGCACTTACAGTGGCTGTTGTAAAATGTGCTGTATAAATAAAATCAACTTGAACTTGAATCTACCAGTGGGGGGTACTATGTAAATAAATATTGATTGAGTTTTTATCTTATAACATTGTATCTAGATTTAGGATTAATTTTATGTTAGATGAACATTTAGCTAATTTAGGCTAATAGAAACAAATAAATCCAACTCAACAACTTGTGGGAGAGTGGAGTATGTGCTATTAAATTACATTTATCTTCTCCCAAATGTTGTTGGAATGGATGCCTCACTAATCTCAGCACATTTGTTATCTTGTTTTTCCTCTAGTGTGGGAAGTCACATGGCTGGTTTTAGAGTACTGGACTGCTTGTTTCCATTTAATTAAAATAGCTTAATGCATAGCCTTAAAAGCCTATCACAAATTAGTCAATATTCCATTTAAATGTACAATATAACTAAATAAAATTACAACTGGCCTGTTGGAGTAGCCTATGCTTTTACATTTACGTACAAAAAGCAGATTAGGTAACCTAGTCTTATTTTTTATTTCATAAATTAATTAGATGATTTAGATTAAATCACAAATAACACAAACGTTAATGCGGTGGACAAAAAATAAACGGGTGCACAGATAGTAAGCTTTCACATTGACTTTTAAGTCTAGTAATTTACATAATCATATAGCAGACGCTTTTGTCCAAAGCGGCTTTAAATGTGAGGAAAACAACGAAACTGTTCATCGTAATAAAGAGAAAATAATATAGGTACAAAGTTTCAACAGTTTTTAGAAACACACACACATAGTGTGAGCAATGTTTTTATTAAGTGTTTACGCGTTTGTCACACAAACGATATATAATTCATCATAATCATGACAAATATTAGAGAAAAATACAATATTATGTATGCCAGCATATTGCGCATCAAAACAAACTTGTCCTTGTTGAACTCGCACAAGGCTTGATAGCGCGTCATGTTCTGTCCAATAGATCCAGCGAGGGTGAGCTAGAGCTCTAGCTCCTCCCATTGGACGCTGCAGCGAAGCCCCACCCACTAAATCTACATAGGCGGAGCTGGAGCTCCAGGAAAGGTGGGGCTGGAGCTCTAGCTCCTCCCATTTGGCTCTGCATCGAGCACCATCTCGACAATTTGGGTACCACTGGACTCCGGGGAGCCAGTGGTGGAACGGTAACCATCTGAAGAGCTCGTCCCCCCATCCCTGGGTGGCCTGTCTCAGGGACGCTTCGTCTGACACTTGCCCCCTGGCTGGGCAGTGCCTGAGACAGACCGGGCGGCCTGCCTGCTGCTGGCTCTACGCTGGGGCCTGAGTGAAGGCTGTTGCGGGGGCCCCGCGGAACTGGAGGCAGCGGCAGGGGGACGCCCTCGGCGACGGGCAGGCGGAGGAACTGTCACCGGCGGCGGGGTGGAGGCAACAGCGGGCCGCCGGGACAGGGTGTGTCGGGAAGCCTCCGTCTGCTCCTGGGCTGTGAAGAGCTGTTGGGTACAGCTCTCCACAGCGTCGCCGAACAGCCCAACCTGGGAAACTGGGGAGTCCAGGAACCGAACCTTGTCCGCATCCGCCATCTCAACCAGGCTGAGCCAATGATGGCGCTCCTGGACCACTAAAGTGGACATCGCTAGACCGACCGCGCATGCTGCGACACTCGTGCCCCGGAGGGCGATGTCAGTGGCAGTGCGGAGCTCACTCATGAGCGCACGATCTAGACTACCCTCGTGCATGTCCATGAGTGTCTTGGTCTGGTAGACCTGCAACAACGCCAGGGCATGCAAAGAGGAAGCAGCTTGCCCGCAAGCCTTGTGAGCTCTGACCGTCAAATCTGACGCGAGCTCACCGGCCTGCGAGGGGAGACGAGGATCCCCCGTCCAAGATGCAGCGGCCGTTGGACACAGGTGTGTCGCAACAGACCGCTCCACTGGAGGGATAGCCTCATAACCCTTTACCGCTCCTCCGTCAAGGGTAGCGAGGGGGGAAGAACCACTCAGGCAGTTTTCAGCAGTAAAAGGTGCCGTCCACGACCTAGTAAGCTCTCCATGCACTTCAGGAAAGAAGGGTACTGGGGCGGCGGGCTGAGAACCAGCACGGCCCGCCCCGATATACCAATCATCCAACCGAGACTGAGCAGGACACGGTGGAGGGTTCCACTCGAGCCCGACAGCCTCGGCGGCCCGTTTCAGCATAGCTGACAATTCCGGATCCGGCTCGGGCAACGTTATGCTCCCAGAGGAAGACAACGCAGTCGAGTCGTCATCTCCAGAGGCCAGCTCACCCTCCGACGCTGCAATCGGCGTCCTGTCCTCTGGGGGAGCCCCGGGTGAAACGGCTGGCCCACCCATTACAGATGGACCAGCACACTCCACGGGGGACTCACACGGCTGCGGTGGAAAGGAGGAGTGAGGAGCCCACAGGGAATGGTTACCGGGCGAGACATCCACCACTATCCTCCTATCACCCATCTCACGCGGCACCCGAGGGCGGGGCGTGGTAATGGGGACTCGCGCTTCGCGGACGAAGGCGAGTCTCGATCTCAACACCGCGACAGTCATATTCCCGCAATGGGAACATGAACTGTCCACAAAAGCTGTCTCAGCGTGCTGTAAGCCCAAACACGTGATGCAACAATTGTGACCGTCAAAGAGAGACAGGGAACGACCGCATCCAGAAACGCACAGGCGGAATGACATCTTGAAAAAGACGCAAACACACCCGTGTTGCTCTTTCAGGAAGTGAAAAACTCTCACCAGTGCCGGAGCACACAGGGGAATGACCGCGGCAACACTGATACAGGAATGGTGCAGCCTGTATCAGTGAAGCACTCACCTTCTTCGCCCCCAAACGGCCGTCAGACAAACAAACACAAACAGAAATTTGGTTGCTGTGACAACAGCATTTGAGAGCTCGGAAGCTCGCGATCACCGCTGCACTCGCGCTGTAAACACCGACACCAGGAGAGACTTCCAGAAGAAGCACGACACACTCGCTCGTTGTATAACAACACTCTTCAGACCTGAACATGAAGCTCGGCTCCGAAGTGAAAGGCAATGGTGCGTGCATCTACTTCCGTATTTATACCCGCGCCGCGGGGCGGAGTGTGAGATGCATATCTCGCACGCCAATGTGCATTGGCTCGTTCTAAATTACTCGAAGACAATAGGCTCCCTAGCGTGATCCCATTTCAGTCGACGTCGACTACGTCTGACGTTCACGACTGAAAGGGAACTAATGGGTACTTATTCTACTATTATAATCTACAATCTCACATTTGGGAGCAATTTAGCAAGAACATACCTTTTTGAAATAATGGTGAACCAGCATACTGTATAGGCTTTATAAAAATTACAGGGTACATAGCTATGCATTTATAAAGTAATCTTTTTAACAAAAGTGCACTGAAAACGAAAACTATTGCAACTTTTGCTTAAATATTGGAGAAAGATACTCTTGTTTCATGTAGTGGTGCTTGTTACCCTCTTGTTCATGTAGTTACAGGGTAAGTACAATAAAAATGCATAAATGCATACACACAATCTTATATCACTGACTCGGAAACCTTTATTTATTATACAAGCACCACTTACCCTGTAACCACATCAAACCAGATATATTTCCAAGTATTTAAAAAAAAAATTGCAGTAGTCTTAGCTTTTCTTGCCTTGAAACATGTTAGCCCAAACATAAACATCTGCACTTTTGCTATAAAAAAAATAAATAAAAAAAGTTAAATAAATGCATAGACATGTACCCTGTCATTTTTAAAAAGCCTATACAGTATGTATTGGTACACAATTATTACAAAAAGGTACGCAGTGTATGTTCTCGCTAAGTTGTTCCCAAATGTAAGATTGTTGTATCATAATAGTAGATTAAGAACCCCTTAGTTCTATAATACTTACAGTATAAATATTTTTTTATTTCTCCTGGTTGTTACCCCTTTATTCCCCAAACTTTACATATTGTTCCCTTATACTTACATGCAAGTACTTTAAAGGTACACTATAATTACAGAAAGTTACTCTGTAAATTCCTCTTAATTACACAGTACTTTCCAGGCTGTAATCTAAAGTGTTACCGAATAATCCAAAGAACAGGCAAGAAATCCAAAAACCGGGAGACAGCAAACCAGGGAGAAACGCCCGGGAATGCAGTGTAACTGTCATGATTCTGCCCTCGTGTCCTTGATTTTCTCTAGTCTTGAGGCAGGATCATGACAGAATCATGTTTTGTG